AATCGTCAAATGTTATTTAATAATCATTTAAAAACTGAAGATCGTTTAGTGTCCTGCAACAATCAGAGTACTCAATTTCTAATGATATAAATCAGAGAAAAAAAACTAAAATCCTTACATTTCAATAACTCAAACCAGCAGAAGTTGTCCAATTTTGTTTGATAAATAGCTTTGGTTGTCATTTTATTGAAATTATTGTCTATTCCACAAATTAAAGTTTTAGCACGAGACAAAAATACGTAACCATTTATTTTTGGGGGGGTAGAGAATTAGGATAACCTCATCTTGGCGTGACTATTATGCCATAGTGTACTGTAGGTATACTATCAATGTTTATGCCCTAGAGGAATATACAATTATTAATGACAACCCCTTTTTAGAAGTGAAGGTATAGTCATTTGTTCTGGGAATGTCATTTTCGAGCCTGAGGCCTGAAAAACTGTCTCGGGGCTCAACAAGTTCAATACACTGTAATGCTACTAGGCAACATTTGTGCAGAGGCATACTCAATCATGTCAACATGCATAGTAACATTATACAAAGAGACATGGATAAATAAAAAACCCACATATTGTGTAATTCACACAATACACAGAACTGTATTCATGACTCATATTATCGCGAGTAGAGAGAGATGATGTTGAGGAAGAAAACAGTCAAGGCTACATGCTGATCTCACTGTGGCTTAATGGAGCTTAAGAATATCTGATGTTTTTTGGTACAATAGTGCCAATTAATCAGATAAAAAAGCTAACAGAATATATTCTATGGACAGCTTTTAGAGCTGAGGTTTGCTGGGTTTTGAGGTTAGCACGGCATGACTCATCCTGAGAGAGAGAGAGCTCTGTCGACACAACACAACAACTGGAGTGGAAAAGGCACTCACTCACTTCTGGAAATTAGTCCAATGACCCAAAAATCACTCACTTTTTACTAGCAGTAATCCACTAGAGGCTGTCATCGCTTGTTGTGTTTAAAATAATATACAAACATCTTCCTCTCAGTCCATGTTATGAGTGAAAAAAATAACTAATTTGCACATATTTTGATTACTGGTGTTACGATATAGGCAAAAGTTATCATTGTTTCAGCATTATTCTTATCTATGATTGAAACATGCTCATTTTCAGGTGTATATCAGTATGTGGTGTCTCTACTTTAAAGAGTCCTCTCCTGCTGATGTTCAGGTGTATATCAGTATGTAGTGTCTCTACTTTAAAGAGTCCTCTCCTGCTCATGTCCAGGTGTATATCAGTATGTAGTTTCTACTTTAAAGAGTCCTCTCCTGCTGATGTTCAGGTGTATATCAGTATGTAGTGTCTCTACTTTAAAGAGTCCCTCTCCTGCTGATGTTCAGGTGTATATCAGTATGTAGAGTCTCTACTTTAAAGAGTCCTCTCCTGCTCATGTTCAGGTTCATATCAGTATGTAGTGTCTCTACTTTAAAGAGTCCTCTCCTGCTGATGTTCAGGTGTATATCAGTTATGTAGTGTCTCTACTTTAAAGAGTCCTCTCCTGCCTCATGTTCAGGTTCATATCAGTATGTAGTGTCTCTACTTTAAAGAGTCCTCTCCTGCTGATGTTCAGGTTCATATCAGTATGTAGTGTCTCTACTTTAAAGAGTCCTCTCCTGCTGATGTTCAGGTTAGCTGGCCGGCTCTGTTGTGATTGGTCTACCGCTTAGAGATATCCCGCCCTCACGCACAATGTGTTGGAGCGCTAGCCAATAGAAGCGCAGGTGTAACCTTTTGATTGTGTCACTATGTTACCAGAAAGTAAACAAACAAGTTAATGGACTCTGCAGGTCAACAATACTTTATTTAGATGGTATTTCAACACATATTTATCCTTTTTTCGAATATTGTGCTTCCTGTGATTTGAATTGCATTTATTTATTGTGATTTCAATGACATTTGGACTCATTTTGCAGCTGCTGTCGAGCAGAGCTAAAATCAACTTAATGTATTATCAAATGTGCCCATTCTTAGTTGCATGTATGCTTTGTTCAACCACTCAGCCGTTATATTTGCATCCTTAAATGTCCATGTTATATATAAGGCCACCTTACTCTGTATTTTGCCGCCTCATCATATTCTTCTATTGCCTTCTAGAGTGTGTTTTATCCAAGCGGCCCTTATCTCTAACTTGTTGACTTTGATTTCTCCCTTTAGCATCCGAGGCAGCCGGCGACAGCAGTGAAGCCCCATTGGCTGATTGAGGTAACTGCTGCATGACATCACCCAGCTGGGGCCATTACGCTGTATAGGGAAAACACATTAGAGGCAAATGAGATACTTTGGGTGGCTTCACAAATAGACTGGGAGTCATTTACCCAACGCATTGCTTCTCCAATGGTCTGTAGAAACAAAAACACTTCGTTGGGTCTCTTTCTCAGCAGATCTCAGCCCTTTATTTTTCATTGTATGTCTCTTTGTTACCTACCTTCATCTGAGTTTTTTCTCTTTCTCACACACTTAAGACACACTTCTTAAAGACACAAATCCTCTCACCTGCTCCTGGCTTTTACAAATAGAGCACTGAATCAAAGGCATCCGTCTTGACATGCTGCCCTGATAGTTCCATAATGGGCCCATAACGTGAACATTGGGCTCCATTGTTTACGCTATTAGTCACACCAGGCTTATGGAAAATTACTGCGATGCTATATTGAAAAGCCATCAGCGGCGGCCTGGTTAATGCTTGCAGCAGCTCCGTGCCAAGATGCTATCTATCACACGTGCATGTTTCCTCTCCTCTCTGCACACAAAGCTGTTATGAAACGGCAATCTGTTAGCACGTCGTCGTCGTGTAATGATGAAGGCTTCCTTGATGACATGATATAGGGTTCAGCATAGCGGAACATGTGTTGGCTGTTCATGATACAACATAAATATTATATATACCATAACTGATAAGACGGCACAGTGCAGCAGAAGGGTTTGTTTATCTAAGGACACCAAGGATAATAATAAGCTACTTGATTTGATATTATAATTGAATGATACGCAGATTATCTACTAATGGCTACGTTGGTATTTTATTAAACCTATATGCAGAAGCCCATTTTTTGTTATGTATCCCTTACCTTAATTGCAGATTTAATTATCTTCTTAATTAAGGGACATTTTAATTATCAGATTTATTATAAAAATATATTGCAATAGTTTTTTTTGTTTGTTTGTTTTTAATATCGCATGGTCTAACGATTTGGCCACCGAGGCTTAAAATAATATATTATATTATTTTAAATATTTAACAGCATTTATAGTAGCTAGAACTCGTCCAGCTACAACATTAAGAACCTGTTAATGCATCATTTAGAATAACCCAATTATACTATAAAACCTTTGTAAATAATTAAATATTATGGATCATTTCGCCTTCTTAAACTTGTGTACATATTCCTGATAAATATTTTTCCAAGTAACAATATTACTTCTGATTGAGTGCTTTTACATTGTAGTAACTGTTGCTAGTAAAGGGTCCTAATACCACTGCTGTGTCTGTGTCATCGAGCTTGTAACAGGGAGTTATTATAAGAGTTTCACAACTTTATATTATTATTAGCACAATAGGAGAGCCGCAGTGATTAATGCTTGGCACCGGGCTCGATATATGTGTCTGTGTTGTGCGGCGGCCTCATGGTGACACATACGAGTCAATCAGAGAGGCCGATCCACCACAGAACAGGTTCTGCGGCTTAATTAAAGTGATGTTTCAAACTGCCACCTGGCCCACACACACACACACACTACACACACCATCACACACTGGCAGTACACGGAAACATACACCAAGTCCTTTTACACATTAGCCATATGGCTCACTTCACACACCTCCGATGCACATACACGACTACACACTCACACTTAAGTGTACTCACACACTAGCGCACACATACGTGGAGCGACTTGGAGCAGCTGCTGGTGTAATTGCTCGGGGTTGGATGAGGTTATAAATGTTTTTCAGTGGGTTGTGCAGCTCTAAAGAGAGGGCAGCTTATTAGTTTGGGACAACAAGTGAGAGTGTGTGTATCAATCGATTCTTCCCCTGTATGCTATGGTCGTCATGTGTCAGTGGTGTGTGTGTTGGCAGTTGACAGGATGCTAGCTATCACATACACAGTGTATAGAGGATGATATTTAAGGGAGGGACCATGCTGTTTTTGGACTGGAAACAAAAATGAACAACCTGGAACACCAAAACTTGTCTTATAACATTGAAGTTTATTTAAAAGTCTCAGACGAAACAAATAATGTCATTTCACACAGACAACAGACAAATGTTCACCTCGTGTCTTGGGTCTGCTTGTTTAACTAACTTGTATGACATTCAGTCAAACATGTCTAAAGGGGAAATTAACCTGGAAATGACTACTGTTTGTTTTCAATCAACAGTGTGTAATGCTCATCAACTATCAAGCTAACTGCTAGCTACAGTCTGCGATTAGCTACACAATTTGACTAGCTGGAATCACCACTCTCTACTCTTGTTGAAAGTCAGAACGCTGTGTAGCTTTTCAAACATCAAAACGAGTGGTGTTTCTTTCTAGTGGAAATCCTAAATACCGAATGGAGCCTGTAACGATACACATGTTAGCTTGTCATTTTAGCGGCTTGAGCTAACGTTACGTTAGCTTCACAGCCTGATAAGACAAGCTCAAGCTTAACATAATGATAACAGATTACCTTGAAGATTTTAAATACTGTTGTGCTACCAAGCTAACCACTAAGTAGGCAACTTCTCTGTTTGTCTTTTTCAAACAGCAAAATGAAACGATATATATATTTTACAGCTTCTGTTTAGGACTATTGATGGTTACACTTTAAACACTTTCATTTTGCAGTTTGAACTACTCACAGAAGATTTGAAAATGACAACAAATCTGCTTCACGATTATTCATATTTTGGAGTTATAATCGATTTCCTGATTTCTGTGCTGTTGTTTAATTAGCCTTACATTACATTTCAGGCTAAATTAAATAGCCTTGAGGTCTCAACACAATTAAAAACCTGTTGTTATTTTCCCACATCACTTCTTTTACAATGTGTCTGATATGGCTAGTCATAACATGTCTACTCTCCAAAAACATAGGCGTTACAGTGTTTCCCACAGAATTTGATTCTATTTGTTGGGGCACCGCAACCCCCCGCCCCCCCCGGCAAGAAAAGCCAAAGGCCCCTTAACCTATTCGGGTGGCCCACGCATCCAACCCCCCCCTCAAATAAGAAAATACATGCGAGTTCATGGCTACTGTAGCAGACAACGTTCTTGTTGCTCTGTGCTGCGTTGTTAATGAGTGAGACACACCGGAGTTGAGGATCTGTGGGGTTTATTCTCCCAAAAATATAATTTACAATTTAGGCATTTAGCAGACGCCTTATTCCAAAGCGACTTACAATGACCAATTACAGGGACATTCTCCCTGGAGTAACTGAGTGCCTTACTCAAGGGCACACTAGTGGTGGTGTTCCAGGCGGGATTTGAACTCGCAACCTTCCGATCATCAGAGAATTGTAAGTGGCTACTGCCTGAGATCGCATGCTGTGGTTTTATTAAATGTGCCAACTGCTAGGACTGTCTTAGGGAAGATAGCATTTAGATGCGCAGCTCCACTGTCCTGGAATAGTCTGCAATTGAAATGGAAACTGAGCAATCTGGTGCCACTCAATGTTTTTAAAGCTCGGTTGGATGCTACTGAATCGGAAGCTGTTGGTACCTGTGCATGTGGATAGTTATGTAAATTGTAATCCCTGTAATGCTACTGTATGATGTCCTTTTGTTGTTCTGTTTATGTTTTTAATGTTTCATGTGGAACCTACTTGAGCAGGTCTCCCTTGAAAAAGAGATCAATGATCTCAATGGGATACAACCTGGATAAATAAAGGTTTGAAATGAAATCAGCCCACCTCACTATCCATTAGACCACAAATAAATCAATGTATGAGAAACACTGCGTTACCTAAAGATGAAGATGGACGCCACAGATTTTAATATTAGCCTGATGCGTTGCAGTGACGTTAAGCCTGCTCAAATCACATGATAAAATACAAAAAATCATAAAGTCTTGTGTTTGAATATATTAATTTACGTTATTAGATAGGAATTAACTTTCTCACACACCTGCCGTCCTCTCTTCCCTCCATGCTGTGCCACAGGTATTTGATATGCATGGCCTATCAGCATGGAGCTACAGTGAGACGTGTCAGAAAGGCTGAGAGAGAGTGAAACATCTGAGCTGGGAATCGAAGAAAAATGGAGAACAAAGAAAATATAGGGAGTTGAGGAAAAGATGAAGAATAGCGAGACGGCTTTTTTTAACTTTTGGTCATATATTGTAGATACAGTAGCAAGGGGTGAGAGGGATAAGGAGGAAGGTAAGGGGGAGAATGGGAGTGGTAAATGTAGTGATATAAAGTTAGGGAGGGAGAGGAAGTATAAATAAAAATAGATAGTGTGTGCTTCAGTAAGCAGCCAACAAAGCTCACGCCTGACTTCCCTCGACCAATTACACCCTTCACTGCCTCCTTCTCACCTCGCTCTCTTAAAGGAGGAGAGAATGAGAGACTGAGGAAGTTAGAGAAAGAAAATGGGGGGGTAATAGACAGGGGATGGGAAAAAAAATCAAATGAGCATTGGAAGATGATTTTAAAAAAAAGAAACCCGAAGCATGTAGAGAGCAGTATAAAGAGGACAGGTGAAAAAGGTGGAGAGACGGAGAGAGGTGGCAGCGTCTGTCTCCTTTTGTGTTTCCACATGGATTCATCCCTTTCTGTCGGCCTTTCATTCACACTCCCTCGCTCTGTCATTGTCATGCTGGCACTCTCTCATTCTTTTCACCCTTTTCTTTCCGGCTCCTCGACTTTTCACCCTCCTCTCGAGCCCATCAGTCCTCGCACTCTGGGCTTTCTTTTCTCCCTCCTCTGCCTGAGTTTTTTTATTTTTTTTATTTTCAGGCTTTTTCTATTATTATTATCAATAAGGTCCTTTTAAAAATAAGGCTACATCTTTGTAAGAAAATATCTCATTTTGATTTTTCTGCGCCATATATTCTTCATTAATTAATCTCCAAGCCAGTTTTGGTCTCTATAACAAGCCTACTTTTTTATTAAAGTATGACCAGAAACTGCAGGTATCCAACACAGTCTCACGGCATTTCGTGTTATAGTCACGAGATTAATCTATTGATTCGTGTTCACCAACACGATTTTTCGCATTTTTTAAAAGCAATGTATTTCTGTTGGTAGTATGTTTCGTGCATGCACCAAATAATAACAAATTAGAAGGAAAACAGGTTTTTTTTAAATACAGATGTCAGTATTCTGAGGCTCTGAGCCATTTCTTTTCCTTGCGGACGGCAACAAAATTCCGACATTATACAATTTAAAATAAAAGGGTTAGGGTTAGGCTTAGGGTAAGATATTGAGTAAGAAAATGTGTTTATGAACAACACAACTTCTGGTATTCCAAGACCCGACCGGACAAAAAGACGTGGTGCAGGCACGAAACATACTACCAATAGAAATACATTGCATTTAAAATGGTTCTGTGTGACACGAAAAAAATGCAAAAATCGTGTTGATGAACACGAATCAATAGATTAAATACATTTTGTGACTATAACACGAAATGCCGTGAGACTGGGTTGAGATATCAGTTGCTTATTTAGTTGTTTTTACGGTGATCGCCTGGAACATTATACTACTGTTAGCTTTACAGTATTTATCTTTGCTATGTTTGCTAAGAACCAAGCTAACCTGTCTGCGATTAGCAACACAATGTGACGAGCTATAATCAGCACTTGTACAGATGTCAGAGTTAGCGGTTTAAGCTTAAGCTACGTTTAGCATCACAGACCAATAACATTACACATTTTTTTAGGGATAAATATTGATATAAAGTTTTCACAAAGCTGCTAAACTATCCGCCAACTGGTGTCGGTTTACCTAACTGACGGCTAATTTTGTCTCACATTTTATCTTTTTTAATGGCCCCTTGAATACAGATGTTAGCTTCAGCGGCTTGAGCTATAGTTACTTTAGCATCACAGACTGATAAGATTAGCTGCTTTAAGATAAACATGCTTTAAATAATGATTCAAGTTTAACTTCATACTGCTAGCCATCAATCTGGCATGCTAACAAGCTAACTGATGAGAAAGCTAATGCACTGTTTGTACTTTTTAAACAGGAAAATGACTGTTTTTACAGCTTTTATTTAGGACTGCTGTTGACTAAGCATAAACAGTTCATTTTAATTAGCCTTAAATTATAATTCCAAGCTAATGAAGTGGCCTAAGGTTCCAAAATAAATTAAATTCCTGTTGTCTTACATGTTATTATTCTCCTCAGCACATTCCCTTGCAGTTGAGTCTA